GTGTGTGTCGTGTGTGTGTGTGTGTGTGTGTGTGTGTGTGTGTGTGTGTGTGTGTGTGTGTGTGCACGTGTGTGTGTGTGCGTGCGCGCGTGTGCGCGTGCCTAGTGCATGTACGTGTGCGTGTGCGTGTGCGTGTGCGTGTGCGTGTGCGTGTGTGTGTGTGTGTGTGTGTGTGTTTGTGTGCGCGTGCGTGTGTGTGCGTGCGCGTATGTGTATGCGCGCGCGCGTGTGTATTGGCCAATTAACGAATGGATGTCTGTAAAATAACGTGGAGCAAATAAATACGTTAGCAACCACTATGCATGTTCACCAATCTTTTACGTTATATACGATCTGTAATGAGAAGACATACATACATGCGAAATGCTTCATCACATAAGAGAACACAGATGCTTTTATATATGTAGATCACCCACGCAGATGCTAGCACTCCCTCAGGTAAGCAGCGCTCGCAGCTTATACTAGTGTTTACAATGCATAATCATAGGAATGTTCAACCCGCGAACTAACCTTTTTCATACGTGAGGCAATCTATAGGCATCTTGCTATCAGTAATAACGCGTAGACAGAAAACACTTCGTGAGTAAGAAAACGTGAGAGGCGAGAAAAAAGTTGAGCGTCTGCCAACGCGCGTCAGCTTCCCGCGTAAATCTGACAATTGTACGTGAGAGTAGAACGCCATTTATCTGCGTTATGTACCCCAACAAACCTATAAGGCGTTTCAGGTAAATATATGGCCGAAACCGTGTTAAGAACTGATGGGTTGCGCACCCAGAGAGATAGCTGCTAGAAAGTTAAGTGGCATTACCGATAAGCATTCGTGCTATAGGTTGTACCTCATTATTTCGGCAATCTTAAGACCCGACCAGCTCCGAGGTAGTGAAAAAATGCGGAACAATCGAAGCCAATGTTAAAAAAAAGACAAAAATTATGCATATATACTGCATTATTACTAATCCAGATACAAGTTATAATACATAAGCATAAACCTAATCCGGACTTACTTCTCGCTTTATGAGAATAGACTAGTCCTATGGCGCAGATTTGCTTGTACTATCAAGAGCCAATAAGGTATAATAATAATGTATGATCAGCTTGCGACAGCACAGTAAATCTGCGATATAGGTGTTAGTTATTGTGCTATAGGTACTATCTATAACACACAAAAAACAAGTTGCTTTGTCAACGAGACTGATCGAAATCGTCATTCGGAATCCAACCGAAGATGCTGCTTGTTTCTTATCACTTACACGCGAATGCGTCGGTACTACTGCGTATATCTTGCGGCTGTTGCTGTAAATGTAATACAGTCTGGTGACGACTCACGCGGGCTTCATTGCGCGTAGCATTTTACCAGAGGCAAGCGAACTACTGCTGGGTACGCGTCGAGGACACCCGTAAATGCACATGTACAGGAGACCTCAACAATGGCAACACTACGATTTACTAAGAGTTAGCAGGCAGCGGTATGACGATATAATTCCCGCAATGGTTTGACGTGTCGCTGCCGCGTAAGCACATTTATCGGCTTATATATAGTACACCGTTCCTCCCCTTTCCTTCTTTACACGAGAGGCGCGAGCACGCACATAAGGTCGTTATTGGGATCGTTATATGCCGTAGATGGCACATCGTCGCGAATAATTGGTTTAGCATTTAATTTTAATAGCTGCGAGTGCTTTGTGGCGTTGCTATACCGATGAATGCACGTTATACTCTCCTGTTACTCGCGCAGCTTGTGAAAACCAATATATATATATATACTTAGAGGAAGAGAGAGAGAGAGAGACGGGAGAGAGACAGAAGGAGAGAGAGAGAGGAGAGAGACGATAGAGAAATAGCGAGAGGAGATAGGGTGGAGAGGAGAGGAGGGAGACAGAGACGAGGAATTATCAACGACAGACCCCTGAGATATAGTGATGTTCGTACTTACATATTTAGTATATGATAGACTATATATATATATAGATTAGTAGATGATAATGTTTGCATAGATAGCTGATAAGATAGATAGATGTAGATAGAGATGAGGAGAGAGAGAGATAAGAGAGACGAGATAGAGAGGAGAGGAGAGAGAGCAAGAGATAGATGGTAGATAGATGTGTAAGGATGATAGTAGATGATGATAGATCGGTAGATAGATGATCGCATGATAGTAGATAGTAGTAGTGATGTGATAACATAGATAGTAGGAGGCAGAGCGGTAAAAGTTAAAAACGTTTGATGGACATAATGAGATATCGATGCCATAAGATGCAAAGGAGGTTGGTCAATCTTTATTTTTTTGCAGCTTTCGAGAAATGTGTCTCTTAGTTCGTCAGGTTGTAACAAAAACAGACGTGGCTGTTGTATAAACCCTGACGAAGAGACGGGAGGTTCTCGCAAAGCTTGTGAAATAAAATTATCAACTCGTTCTATGTTTTATATTATTATATGTTGGGGTCTTATATATATATGGTGTGGACACCTGTGTGGTGTGTGTGGGGTGTGTTGTGTGTGT